TCCCTTTTCTCCTTGCTCCACCTCCTCCATTTGTTATTTTAAAATGTTTTAGGGTGCTGGTGGTGGTGGCGCACGCCTTTAATCCCAGCACTGGGGAGGCAGAGGCAGGCGGATCTCTGTGAGTTTGAGGTCAGCCTGGTCTACAGGAGCTAGTTCCAGGACAGGCTCCAAAGTTACAGAGAAACCCTGTCTCCTAAAAACAAAACAAAACAAAAAGATGTCTTAGGGTAATGCCCTTCATAGCTAGTCATTGCCCACCTGTGTCTGAGCCAACATCTCCTTGGTGATACACTGAACCTTTGGAATGTGTCAATAGAGCGCTAGCTTCTACTGTCCCCAAGACTTCTCCGAACTATGTACTGTTCTGTGTATGACTGCTGTATTTCAACTCAAAGGTGTGAGCACTTTTTGTTGCTATTTTGTTTTTCATGAGACAGGGTCTCATTATAGAGCCCAAGGTGGCTCCAAATTTATGATCCTCTTGTCTCAGCTTCCCCAGTGTTGAAATTATGGGTATATGTCACCAAACCCAACTAAGGTTATTTAACCATGTATTTTTTTTTAATTTCATGTATTTATTTTTGTGGTGCTGGAGAGTTAACCTGACCCTCACACATGCTGGGCAAGTGTTCTACCACATTCTACATATATATAGACTCTTAAAAGCTGAAGGGGAAATGGGAGATGGCTTAGCGGGTAAAGTGGAGGACTTACATTTGGATCTGCAGTAGCCACACCTTTAAAGCCAGTAAGGCCCAGGAGAATAAGCAGAAAGGAGCAAGTCTGCCTTGCTGCCTTGCTCTGTCTGGTAACACGCCTGGGAGAGTAACCGACTCCTCTCTCTGAAGCCTTGCCCACAAGCGCAGCAAAGAGCTCCCCAACCAGCATTACAACATCTGGTCACAAATATGTATCATTTTCTTTTACCCCTGGAGTTCCTTCCTCAGGACTGGGGTTGCTTATAAAAATTTTAAATATATAATTCATACACTAGGACCAGGAAAATGTAAATTACAATGAAAAACAGTTAAGAGATTTTTTTAAAATGTGCATGTAGATCTTGCATAAGAATTTTTCTGAATTGGATCATAACCCAGTTTCCTCTCCCCCCACCCCCTCCCTGACACAAACACTCTTCCTGGAGAACCACTAAACTTCAATCCCAATTAAAGTTTTTTTTTATAGATTTTAACAATCTTTTTATTATTTATTTAGCCCTTCACAGCTCACCCCACACAGAGAAAAGGTTATTTGTAGTGGGTCACTCATTTTGTGGCTTATGTGGGGGAATGGTTCAGCTGCTGGTACTGCAGAGCAAAGGGGGACCTAGGCATACCCAAAGAGGTGACCACACCCAGGAAGGTTGATTGGCAGGCTGGAAGACAACACTCTCCCAACAAAGGCACTTTTCCAGGGGATATAGCTCAGCGGAGAATGCTTGCCTAGTATGCAGTTGGCTCTAGGTTCAATCTCCTGTACCATAAGCACTTCAGTGGGGTCAGAGAATTGGCTGGGAGTATTGTGGAAACAGGAGGGGGTATTTTTTTTTTTTTTTT